GATTCAGAATGCAAACCCTGGCCTTTCAAAGTGCTGATCTTTGTAGCCCCCGCCCCACACCACCCCACTACCTTCCTCTAAATTTGGTTTGATAAGAAAAGGTAGTACTTCCCTTAATGGATAAACTTTGCAACGAAACATGCACAGGCAGTGATTCAAGTTTCTTAAAAAAAAAAGTTTGACATTCACAAAAGCTTGTAAAATGGTTTGATAATCTTAATGAGGAAGATGGAAACATCAACACTCCTGTATTGTATCCCTGGAGTCATGTTGATATATTTGGAAATACTTAAAAAAAAACCTGTACACTGAATGATATGCGTTTTTGTGCTGAATCATCATATCACGCATACACTGATTAGCATTCATCCTCTTCTGGTGGGAAATGTTATGATCACTGGTCTTCTAGAGACCACTGGGTTGACTGGCACACACACACACACACACACACACACACACACACACACACACACACACACACACACACACACACACACACACACACACACACACACACACACACACACACACACACACACACACACACACACACACACACACACACACACACACACACACACACACACTTCTCTCAGTGGGTGCCAGCAGCAGACCAGGTAATGATGGCTATTTCAGTTTCTCTACTCCTGATGTTCACATTGACTGGCAACCTCACACTGAGACAGATAATCTGCTCTCCTCTCTGCCTCGTAGGGAAAGAGGAAGATAGGAAGTGGGCAGAGTACTCTCCTGTTGTGTATCAGCGGCGTGCCACTCACACTCACCCCTAGGATCCTCACATGAGGATGAGCAAGTACAGACACACATTTACACAAACACACCTGCACAGAGAAAGAGTTGCATGTTGAGGAAAATAGCAGGAGAGACGGTGAGGGAGAGGAGCAAACATGAGTCGGAGAAAACAGAGCAACAAATAGATATTCGTGAAGGTTAAGAAAGAGAAAAGGGCAACAGTAAACAGAGCACAACATAAATAATATAACATTCAGTTCATAAAAACATATAAGAACAATTACGAAGTCCTTGCCTCAGAAAAGTAAATAAAATCCTCATCAAAAGATCAGACTCTAATTAAGAAAGGTTGTCATAGAAACTTTATGAGCAAATAAAACATAATTGAAGATGAAAGTGATAGTTTTATATATAAAGCCACACATATTTTACTTGGTGTGTATGTGAAAGCCTTCCCTGACTGAAAAAACAGCTGTATAATTTATAGAAATATTTTCTTAATTTCCAAAAGGCAACCGAAGTATGCTTGCCGTTCAATTACAGCAACATCTTCTGAACATATTATTTTCAGTATATGAAGAGGCAGAGAGAGGTGGGTGCCCATGTTTGCTCCTGAACTGCAAAGTGTCTCGGTGTGTAAAAGACACAAGACTAATCACTCTCATTGTGGCCTATTTCCATGGTAACTCTGCAACGAGCGGTAATTTAGCCTCGCTAGCTAACGACACAGAGCGAGTCATTATCTTAGCGCCAGGCTAGGGCCTCCTATTTAAAGATTCACACCATGAATGAACAATTAGAGAACAGATTGCTGGCCTAAGTGGAGGAGAGACAGGAAAAGACAGAGGGGGCAAGGGGACGAGGCCAGTGTGTGGTGACCCCTGTGTCCACCATTTTAGGGATGCCCAGGGTATTGCTTTAAATCAGTGTTGTTAATGGAAAACTATTTAATAGGACTATTAATTGTTCTTAATAAGGATTTTGTAGAGGAAAACAGGTAGGGTGGATATATTGTAAGAGACATATAGTGCAAAATGAAGACTTAGAATTTGAGGTTCGTTTCGCAAGATTAAACTTTATAACTAGACCCTTTGTTAGCTGTAGCCTCTGTGTTGCCAGGCCCACTGTCAGTGCCCTCATTGAAGAGAACGAGGGGGCTTCTTTTAGTCTCGCAGTGTACCAATGCTCGTAGAAAAAGCATGTGGCTGAGATGACAGTGTGGATTAAATTACATTTAGTATAATGTTTCCCTCTTACCGTGAACACAATCTTTTCCTCCCCTTAACCAGATAGTTGTCCTTACTTTGAGGCAATGGTATACCTTAATGTTCTCAAAAAGTCATCCATAGTGTTCCATAGTGAGCAGGTTTCAGACAATAGTAAATAGAGGTTGGGCAATTATGGACAAAATCAAATATAACAATATTATTTTATCGAAGGACGACTATGACTACCCCACATTTCAGCCTTTACTTTAAAACCAGGGTATATATATATTGTCCAGCCCCATTACAATTGATTTATTTTGTCATTAAGTTTGGAGGACTTGTTGCATTAATGAAATCTGCAAGGAATAGAAGCAACAGTGAAGCATAAGTTATTCTCACTAAATGCTCTCTCACACCCCTCACATAATATCTCCTGTTCCCCCTGATCCTTCAGTCCCCCCCCCAAGACAAACATCCACACCGACACACTCGCATAGCCATCCCAAAACACAGGGCAACCCTCCCCAAGGTCAGTCTCTATCTGTTTCTCTCTCTCTCTCTCTCTCTCTCTCTCTCTCTCTCTCTCTCTCTCTCTCTCTCTCTCTCTCTCTCTCTCTCTCAGGCCTTTTGTGTGTCTCCTTCTAAAGAAGCTGTCAAGCTCTACTGTTTAAGGGCTCACAGGAGGGACAAAAAGCATACTTTGTTTTGTTTTGTTTGCCTGCCGTGGTGCTCGGCTGAGAGAGTGAGTGAAGGAGAGAGAGAGAGGGGGGAGTGGGGGGTAACATGTAATTTACTGTTTGCCCCACTCTACTGTACATTGCTTTAGTCATGCTAATGCAGCTCTTTGTAGGGCTGAGGAGATAGCCATCAATCAGCTGTCAATTGGTCAATTGAAAAGAAAAAGAGAGAGGGAGAGAGAGAAGGCATGTTCCCTCCCTCTATGTCCTCTTCTTCTTCTTCTTCTTCTGCTCTGCTACCTTGCGGACTTGGGGGTCCTAGGAAAACCTGGCAGCTGGATCCGGATCTGGAGTCCAGGTGGAGGGCAAAGCAAAGTGTGAAGGCATGAAAATATGTCTGTTTCAATCTGTTTTTATGTCTTAATAGTAAGCTGTCTTTGTGTCAAATAGCCCCCAGTCTTGGTTATATTGTTGTTGTTGTTGTTGTCAAAATGGATTTAAAAAGAAGTATGTAATTGTAACGTGACACTTCTGGAAACTTGCGGTGCCACAGCAGAGGACAAACCCTTTATTACGCTAGCTAATGTTAGCGCTAAGATAAGCTAACAGGCCCATTAGTGCCAGTTCATTTAGCTCGTTAGCCGAAGCCTCGGGGCTGATGACATTCATTACATATCATTAGTGCACAATTAACATGTCTCACTCAGACGTCGCTCCCAATGTTACACGACACTTTTAATCATGTTTTATGAAATGTTTCCTGCCAGCATGACATGATTTATGAGTTTTACATGACAGGGCGTTCATTACATTAACCAGCTGTAATCATAAATGCTGCTGCAGACTGATTCCAGGTCCAAAAGTCTCAATCCGTATCTATTTTTCCCACTGAAACTTGTAGTTTATTTAGTAATTAAATTGTTTTCCTCCCATCAATTCACCTCGTTTTTTTCCCATGCTTCCTTTGCTATTATTCTATAGGAATGCAATTTACATTCTGCAGCAACGTGCAGTGTGTCAAGGTAACATTTCTAAAGCTGAGTCAGTGCTCACTTTTAGAAAATTACTACATTAGTACATTTCTGTCTGAAAGACCCTTCCAGATATGCACAGTCAGGATAAGGTTGTTTTTTTTGGAAGTTTATTTTCATATGAATGTGTGAGATTTTGACATTAACTCTGGCAGCCAAATGAAGAAGTGCAAAAGAATAAAATAGTAATTTAGTTCAGGAATTCAAAAAATAGGATTCAGCACAGAAACCAAGTAAATACATTCTTTTTTTTAGGTTTGCCAAATGTGCATATACGATGGGTCCGTGTGTTCTTAAAAGTCATAATGGAAGAGCTCATTAACACTGACTTTTACTTTTGAAGTTAGCAATTATGCACCAGACATTTGCTTTATGGTTCATCTGGTAAGTACATTTCTTGAATAACCTTATAGGCTAACCCTGCATTTAGTTAAGGGCTGGGGTATTTTGCTGACATTAAAATCTAAATACATTAATATTACCGAGCTTTTAAAGTCCAGATTGGTAATATTTTCTTTGTTTTATGCACACTGTAGACTAGGAAATAAATCATCACATGTATGCAGATCACATTCAAAATAAATAAATAGATGTTCAACACAACAAAAGATCACTGTTGCACCACATAACACAAAAGAAACCCATTAACTCCCAACTATAATAACTTTTAAGATTCTAATGATAATTATGAAATGATGAGATAACAGGTATGTCGGCAGCATTTATCATGACATAAAAAAACAGCAAACCTCAAATATAGTGGATTTAATTTTCAATAAAGAAGACTGTTGCATGTATTGTTAAGCATTTCATAGAAGGTGAATTTCCATCTTATTTGTTTTTAAGTTTTTGCAACAACGCTAAAACAAAAACCTCAAAATATTCGTTATACTCCAAGATCTAAGAACACGTGCCAAGACAATCCTACACACACACAGAGGTACAAACAGTACTATTCTCTTTTTTTCTCCCTATCACACTCACCCCCCCACTGATCAACACACAGACATAGAGAGAGGGAGAGCGAGCGGTATTGATTTTGCTGTCTCCAGGCTGTTGAAAGTGTGTGTACTTGTGGTGTGTGTGTATAAAAAGGATTAAGGCCCACGCTCAGCTGAGATACCATCAGCCATCAACCCTGCTAGTCCGCTTCGGGCTTTCCCGGCTGCCGCATTGTCTATTCTGCTCCGCTATGTGAAAAATGTTGAATATCAACAATGGCTTTCAGTGGTGTATTGTTGAGTTTTTGTATGAACTAATCTTGCCTCAGTGAAAGAGACCTAGGGCTTGGACAAAACGTCTAGAGCCACAGCATTCCTAGCTGGCTCTCCCCTTGAACGCTGAGCAGAAGGCTGGGGCTGAGGGAGGCAGAGGAGAGGGGAAGGCAGGCTGGAGGAGAGGCTAGGACAGGGAGAGCCCAGGCCGGGGTACGAGCTCCGAGGCTGGGGGAACGAGGGGTTGGCAGGCCAGGGGGAAAAAGGTGGGAAGTTGGAAGGGTGGGGTTGACATAGGAACCTGGTGAAGGTGGGATAAAGGTGAGGGACTGGGAGAGAAATGCTAGGTGTCTTCAAGACGAGGGATAAGGTGTCACATGGAGGAGGAGGAAAGGCCAGGTAGGGCAGATAAAGTGACATACAAGACATGGGAGACTAGCCAGGAGGGTTTACATAGATCGAAATATATAATTTTTCCTGCATAAACATGCCGTATGTGTAGGAACAGTAATCTCAAGTCAGTTACTTTATAAGAACTCGAATATTCTGGAGGTATAACAGATCTACATTTGGGCAGAAAGAGTTGAGTATTCCAGCTTCAGGAGTGGAGTCATTTTTTTTGTGTGCTTTTCCTGCCATGGATGTAATGCTGGTTCAGCCACCCACGTCCAATCAGACATCAGGAGCGCGGGCCTTGTCATAATGACAGCCATGACATCACTGCAAGGTAAGCTGATGGACAGATTGTCCGAATGATTGACGGACTCTGTGACTCCGACTGAGAATATTTTGATTGGCTGTCTGTCTTTCAGATTTTTTTTCTCCAATCTTGTCTCGCCTCCTTCACCACTTTCTCTCTCACTCTTATTGATGCAAGAGTCCAGGTGTGGGTGCAGATGTAGAGAGTGTGAGGGACAACCAAAAGGCCATGAAGAGTTTCCATGCAGGTCTTCTGCGGTTTTCTGCAGTTTTTATGGAGAATTATCTTCTAGCAACATAACTGTGGTGCATTCAGAGTGAGATTTCTGTGTTTCTGTGTGTGCGTGCATGCTTGGGTGGGTGTTGTGTGTTGCCATCTCTGTGGTCTCTCCTTTCTGTCCCGCTGGGTCTGATGATAGAGGCAGAGGGGACTGGTGTAATAGGGATCTTGTCCCTCTTTTTGTATCAGATCCAGCAATCAGGTTGGTTGTGGACACCATGTAAAATTAGCATTTATTTTTAACAGTGTTGCATTTGTTTAATGTGCTTTATCAAATAAAGTTAAAATCCTTTAGTGTCACAATGTGTTGCCGTTACTTTTTTTTTAACAATAAATTACACAGTTCTTGTTTTTGTCATGTCAGTTATCTTGCAGGTGATCACCATGTACATTTTCCAGTACCCTTTCCTTTAGTAATCATACTTATTCTAGTAACTACATTTATATTTTGAGTTACATTTATTTGTCTCTTCTTTTTCAGTGTGTACACAGTTCACACACAAAACCTGCTTAAAATAAGCAGTATTTATATATTCAGGCTATATTAGGAATCACATATACTAACATACTATTTATACCTTATCAGTACGATGTCAAATTGTAGTTCGTTCCAACTGCAGAGTTTGTGGCTTTTGTGCTTGCGATAAATGCCCGGGTGTATATTGCATTAGCACACATTTCTGAGTATGAGATGTGAGCTTACAGTACAAACTCAACTTCCCCATTAGGTGCTTTCACACCGCAGTATGCCTTGCGTCTCTTTTAGACTGTGCAACTGCAGAGATTTTAAGTAAGCGACTTCAAACATTGCCCCTAGTTTCAGATTTCCCCCATCTGCTTAAACCATTTCAACACACCTCTACATTTTGGCCTCTCCTGGCCTGCAGACTACAGTTATTAATGTTAAATACAGTTAAATATGTGAATTACTTCAAATTAAGAAGTACGAAACAAGTTCAAACCCTATTCTACATTTCTGTAAATACGTTTTCTTTTTGACAATTCACACAAGGTGAGTTTATATTAAAACGTCATGTATGGATTCTTCATACCTATCATTTGGAGAGATACAAACTCAGAGTGTAGTTTTATCTCAACACAAGTCGTTTCTCATATTGTCCTCAGTCGCACTGCGGGGTCTGTTGGGTTCAACCTGGTGTGTGTGTGGCAGTTTGGGGTCAGTGCCACGGAAACCTAGGATTGAGAGATGGTTGGCTTAACCCCTCACCCCCAATTCACACACACGCACACACACGGATGGTTGTGAACATCAGTGCAGTCTAATCGGTGGCCCCTGGTGATTTGTCCTCTCAGCTTGAGGCCCTGTCATTCCTCCCTGCTCTCCTCACAATTACAGCCATGAACTGAACTAGAAAATCTGCTCCAATCTAGCAATTAGTCCTGAGGCCATTGGCTGTGTGTGTGTGTGTGTGTGTGTGTGTGTGTGTGTGTGTGTGTGTGTGTGTGTGTGTGTGTGTGTGTGTGTGTGTGTGTGTGTGTGTGTGTGTGTGTGTGTGTGTGTGTGTGTGTGTGTGTGTGTGTGTGTGTGTGTGTGTGTGTGTGTGTGTGTGTGTGTGTGTGTGTGTGTGTGTGTGTGTGTGTGTTCTCTTTGTGAGGACCAAACAGGAAGACTGCAGTCGTTGACAGCCAAATAACGATGTTCTAAACCATTTTGTCGTCAAGTGCATATTTTAACCTTCTTGCGATTAGTGTAAACAAATGATTCCACATTTGAGATGATTGTGGGCCTCACAACAATGATAGTGTTTTTAAAACGTTTATCCCGAGCACCTTTTTAGAAGTATTTAGTTTGTGTGGAATTACATGACCATTTTGAAACTTTAACTTTATCTCCATTTGCACTTGAAGAACAGCACAGTCTTCCTTTTCTGTGCCGTGAAGCAATGCAGACTGATGATTATTTAGTTTCATAGTCCGGCACACATACATTTCAGGTCCCTTAACTTAGTGAAGCAAAGATGTTGCAACTTGTCTCAATTTGGTAAAGAAGAAAAGTGCTTTGGAATAAATTCGACAGATTTTTGAACCCCAGTTTCATCTACAGCTCATATACCCTTGAAGGCACCAATGTTTTTACCTGTGAACTAATGCAAAAATAATGTTTTATTTATATAACCCAACACCACGAAGTTGCTTCAATGGGCCTCAAGGAAATGATAGTTCTCAAAAGTAAAATTGTAAAAACAAAACACTTAGGGCCTTCGACCCTCTGGATGCAAGTTCTTATACAAAGTACTCAAGGACATGCATGGTAGCACTCACATGCCAAATGGTGGCATTCCTGTGAAGCCTAACGTGCCTCATTATAACCACATATGACTCGGCTTGCTGCGACATGTATTAAGCCTATAAATATAGACGGCCTCGGGTTCAATAGGTTTAAAGTAATCCAATGGAGGGTCCTTACAAGTGTAGCAAACTCTAATGAAAGTGCGAGTGTGTGAGGACGAGAGGATGAAGTGGACAGGGGAGGGTCAGGACGGGGTGCGGGGGGGGGGGGGGGGGGGGGAGGCAGGCCTCACTGCGCAGCGACAGAGATGCTTAGTGCCGCCTGGCTTCCTCCTAAAGACTCGGCCTCCTTTCCCCCCCGCGCATCTCACTCCCGTGTCCCCTCTCTCTCCTCCACCACCACTCTCTCCTTCACTTTCCTCTCTTCTCCTTTTGTCCCCGTCCCTCCTTCACCCTCCAGTTCCTCCACGGTTTTTTTTCTCACTTCCTCAGGTTTTCTCCCCCCCCCCATTTCCTCGTCTGGGCCATTACAGACACTCAGCAGCGGACCGAGAGGCGGGGGTGGGTGGATGCGGCATTGGGATGGGGATATTGATGGGGGGGGGACAAAAGCCCTGAGATGCAGCGGTCCGCCGAGAGTGGCTGGATTTGAAAAGAAGCCGGACGGTTTCTTAATGCGGCGGCTGGACGGACAGACTCAGCCCTTTATCCTTGTCCTTTAGCTGATGCCTGTTTTGGCCAAAAAAAAGCACATCATCCGCCTTGTGCCCTTCCCTCTATGCTCGATGTTTTATCAAACACATTAAGACTTGATGGAGGGATGAGGAGAAGAGGGTAACATAGCTGAAGGCCAGACACTTAGGAGGTAGATGCAGAAAACTTTACCGCTTCCTCAGAGGAGGAACATGAGAAAGAAGAAGAGTGTGTGCGTGCATTTCTTTCAGAGGTCGCTTCTCTTGTATGGAACATTAAGACATTACACATTAGTGCTACACTATCCCTGCAGCTGCTGCCCGGGTCAGTGCTAAAGGAGAACATATTGACGGAGAAGTTACAAGCAGCACATTAACACAGCTGAAATTGCAGCTTTTTACAAAACTGCACTCAGATGCAGCTCAGCTATAATTCCCAACACACTTTAACACCAATATGCAAACATGATCAAACTTCTTATCGTAATACTTTTGGTTTGGCTTTTTACATTTTCTAAGAGATCAATAGGATATAAAAATAATTTTACAAATCCATAACTCTGTGTGTGCTAATCTTTGTGACACACCAACAAGGACAGACAACACTTTTCTTCAAAAGCTCGAGTAGTAAACAGATGAGCTGAATGGATTTACTGTCCCACTCCCATCTCTTATCCACCTAATTCTCCCACCAATTATGGCAGTTTGTATTCAGCAGTATTATTTTACTCGAATGGGAGGGGTCCTTGAATGATATTTTCTCTGCCGATGTTCATTTACTTGTATTGGCTGTGTCTTTGTTGTGGGTGGTGTAGGAGTATTATTATGGATTTGGCTGTGAGGGCTTAGCTGCTCTGTTATTCTGATATCAGCTGGACTTTGATCAAATGCAACAAGCTCTAAATCCACTTTAATCAGCGTAGCGTTAGTTAACAGCGAGGAGACTTCACAAGCTCAGGGACTTTCTGAGAAGTCAGGGGAGGAAGGAAAACGCAGACTTATTGGCATTTTTGTATTTGCGATAATACACCTTGATGACATTAAAGTTTTGAATGACAATGGTGTGAATGCTTTGTAAAGATTTGTTGATTATTATTGAATTTCAGTTCTGTTTAATGGCATAGTAGACATCTTAAATCATTTTAAATTGCGTTAAATATTTGGTCTCTTTATGGGACTATGCTCTTATTACTTTGTGTTTCAGTATTCTCAGGGATCACCTGTATTAAGTGCACCTGATGCAGTTTATTTGTTGCATTACATTAATTTGGTTGAGTTCAGTCTTTTTCAATTATATTGATTATCACATACATTACAAAAAATGTCTTTACTTGGTGACATACCACAGCTTTTTCTCTCAAAACCATAGAATTACCAGGAAGGAGAAAAGTTTTGTTTGTAAATATTAAACATGTTGTTGTCAGCTATACATTGACATACATGAATCAGTTTGCTCATAAGTATGAAAATATAGACATGTTGCTATTTGATTCACATATGGATACTTAAAACAGCTAGAATCAATATGTCTATAGGAGAAATTGATCAAATTATTGGTTTTGTGATTCTGTGTGTCAAAACTATTTACAGCACTTACACTGAAATTGTCACATCGGCCATTATCTATGACCATTGACCAAGCAATACTGAACTTGTTTGACTTCCATCTTGACACTTTTTTGTAGAGCTGTTCTGTCAATGTTTGTGGTTTTAAATATCAGTGTAATAATACCCAAGCTAGCATGTTTCTAATTGGCTCTAGCTAATGTTTCCTAGGTAATTTGATGTTGTTCACTCACTTTAGTT